ACAGCATTGATCAGATTGGAAACCATCCCTCATATGGGCATCAACATGGTACACAAATTTTCATGTGCTGTGTCTTTTGCCTATGTTTGTTTCTATAGTTCTGTTCTGCACAGGGGCTTTTTGGCAATCTTGTAGTCATGTGACTGCCACATTGGCATCCATACAACCATTCCATTGGCCACCACCCATGAATCAGTATAAATGTGCAGGCACTGACTCTTCCAGCACTAGGGCCACAACTGCTTGGTTTTTTTTTTCTTCCCCCATCTCCTTCACTATAGATAATACTGTGTGGAGGAACTAAACGCAGCTGCCCACCTTCAGCCATTCTTCCAGGTGGCTGATCCATCGTGAACCAAACATAGTAAGTATCTTTTGGTCAATTGTTTGAAATGGGAGTTTGTTCACCTCCCTGGGCATTCAGCTATTTGTTCATAGTTTGTTAACCATTCCTTTTCCCTTGGCCTGATCAGCTATCTACCATTTCTATTTTGCAAATGAACTTTGGGCTCTACCAACTTTGAGTCACAACATCAGAAAACACTCACATTAGAGTTAGTAATTAAAGTCTGAGGAGCACTTTCTCCTTGTCTGTCTGCCCTTCAATCTCTACTGAGGCCTAGCAGCAGGCCAGAAGTTGCTTTTCAAATGGCATAAAACATGTAGCTGCGTCAGTCAGTTTTCTGGACCAAGCCCAAAAATTGCTTTCCCCTTTGTCTCTGCCATAAGCTCCACATGGCTACTACTGACCCTTGTAATTCAAAAGGTAAGCTAGGGGAAGTGCTAGTGCATGACTTTTAGCAGCAATAAATGCTTTCTGCTGCTCACTGTCCCATTCAAACTGAGTTTTCTTTCAAGTAATGGCATATAGAGGCCTTAGTAACATGGTCAAAAGAAGAATATATCTGCACCAATATCCAAGCAGACCTATAAATTTGTGCCTCAGCCTGGCTACATGGAACAGTCACTTTGTGTATTTTTGTTTACTTTTTCAGGGATCTCTCGCACGTGCTCTCTAGTGCACTCTCTCCCCACTGATTTTATGCTGGTCCCTGTGTCATCTATGGGTTCACTTCCCAGCCCCTCTCTCTCTCTCTCTCTCCTATATATTGCACCAATGTGGCTACAGCTTCCACCACCATTATTTCAGTCGCTCTGTGTGAATCAAGATATCATCAATATAGTGTGGTTACATGAATGTCTGGTGGCAGTGGACACATATCCAAGTCCCTTGCTATTAGCTTCTTGAGGTTGGGCTGTGTAGATATCCTTGTGGTAGCTGTCAAAGTATATTGGCAACCTCCCCATGTTTAAAAACAAACTGAGCTTGTGATTCCAGGGCTGTCTGTATTGAGAGACATTTACTCGATCAATAATGGCATCCCAGGTGACCAACATGCTGTAGCATTGATCACATCAGGCACGGCCACTGCCAGTAGAGGAGCATATTTAAGTTGGTAGTAATCAACTGTCATTTGCCAACTTTCAAATAGGCTTCTTTACAGGCCATACAGGGCTATTGTATGCAAATGCTGCATATGTCATGATCCCTGCAGCTAACAAGCCCTGTATAGTATCCACAATTTCTTTGTGCCCTCCTGGAATATGATACTATTTCATTGAAACCACCATTGTGGGCAGATGAATAATGAGGGGTTTCCATTTTGTCTTGCCAGCAGTAATTGTCACAGCTTGTACACCAAGAGAATTTGCCTAGTGGGGTTTGGGTGTACCTCAAGTCCATACTGATCATGATATTGATATCCAACATACCAAAAAAAACCAGGATTATTCATGGGGGTCCATTCCCCACAGCTATTCTAACACTTGTTCAAATTGCTGGTGTTACCACCCCACCAAATCCATTAAGTCCTTTTGAGCCCTAAATGTGTATGTGGATGTACAATGGTAACGTCTGCCCCAGCATCTGGTAATGTGATATGTCATTGTACATTTGAGGAAAGGCAATATTCTGTGATAGGGACATGCGGCCTTGAGTCTCCAACTTGTCCCAGCCCCATCCCTAATCAATTGGCTGAGTGGCTCACCACAACTGCCAGCTGTGTGGTGTGGTGCTCCAACCCTGCCCTGCCATCAGAGGGCAGTACATCATCCAGTATACTTGGCATTGGTACATAATTCATCTGTTGTATTCTTCTGTATTCCTGCTCTTCATGCTGCAAACATTTCTCTTCTGGTTATCTTCTGCTTCACCAACCCACCCTGTTTGTCACTTGCTTGGATAGGCCCCACTCTTGGCTTACCAGCCTCCCACATGCCTGTCCCTAATGGGGAACCTCTCATCCAGCCCAGCCCACTTTGCATCAACCAGCTCCTCATTCTGGTAGTGAAAGCTTTCTGGTCTGGACCCTGAAATTATGGAGAATACATACTTGTGTAGCCAAATTTCTCAAACATTTTATACCTTCTGCTATGCCTTCTGTCTTTTCAACATCACCTTCCAAATCTAAAAGGGAAGGGTACTTTGTTTCCTACTGTTAGTATCCATGCATTCCATAATGATCCAGTTTGCCCTGTGTTTCTTAAAAACACTTCATGTGGATCAACACTTGATGCTCTGAGATTCCCTCACCCTGTGGCACTCACCATGATATGAGTGGTGCCCTGGTCCCATGACTGTCAGCCAAGGGTTCACCCAACTTCTGCTTGAAGCATGGCCCCAAACCCTATAATTCTGACAAAGTAATCTCTCTATTCTTGAATTTTTGTGGGTTTTGTCCTTTGTTTTGCCTTATTCATTATTAGAGGTCATGGTATTAGTCCCTTTCCTGAGGATGGCTTTGGAGGTGAACCATCCCCTTCCCTGTATGTCCACTCATACTCTGAATCAGATGAATACCAAATGGGACCCTGACCATTGGCATAGGGACCATTTGTGAGGTTAATGTGTGCAGTTTAGGTCAACTTTGCACTGCACCATTTTGCTATCTTCCTTCTGCTGTCTATTGACAGTATATACTATTTGGTGCTGTTTTCTCCTGTGCTGACTTAACTGCCCCTGTTGGGCTGATGTTACACTGTTCTGTCAATGCAGCCTCCAGTGCCTGGCACTCTAATTCTTTTACATGCAGAATGCCAGACTGTTAACAGTATCCATATCACTTGCGGTACACTGCCCTTCTGGGGAAGTCTGCTTTCTGCAAACACTTGTATGGCAGCCTGTATGAATAACACTCCTTTCCTTTCCCAGTTATAACTGCCCACCCCCCATTCTTGTGGGGGTCCTAATTGTGCTAACAAACTAGCTCTAGACCTGAATCTAGAGTCTGCTGTATTCCATGCTGGAATACAGAGGGTCTCCAGAGCAGCAGAAATAGTGGGAACTGCAGATGCTGGAGAATCTGAGATAACAAGGTGTAGAGCTGGATGAACACAGCAGGCCAAGCAGCATCAGAGGAACAGGAGGGCTGAAATTTTGGGTCTGGACCCTTCTTCAGAAGACCCTTCTGAAGAAGGGTCCAGACCTGAAACGTCAGCTTTCCTGCTCC